ACCAATGGATTATTAAAGGATTGGAACAGATCCATAGTTGTCACAGCAATAGAAATTATATGAAAATGGAAGTAATATGAATACATATTTATTGTATTTATTGTTCTCTTTTCCACATTGTTACAATCAAATGAAAGATTCATAATCAAGGTTCAAGAAAACCCCATTATTGTCAAGTTAGGGTTAATGTAAAATCTGATAGATGGTGAAGCCAAAACGTATATAGCTTTTAATATGATCCATCTGAATTCCAAACCAAATTAAAAACATGCTTTATTTCTATTCTCTAGAATTTCACTAAGGTAGAGTTGTATTGTTGCTGGGGACATTTTTATGGCTTTGTCATTCAGTCAGCAGGAGCTATTGCTAGGTAATCTTAGAAATCATAGAGGAAAAAATAAGGTACAGTATGTCTCCTTGCCATCTGCTTGAAAATTCTTTAAAATCATCTTGTTAGTCCTCAAAAAAACATCTATTACTTGTATGTTTTGCAATATCAGGGATAGGATGAACATACCTTATTCATGCTTCTTTCTGTTTCTATGGAAACTGTGAAGAAACATAAAATGTCTTCATCTGCATTAATTTAATTCAGATAGTCAATAACCAGAGACATTTAACCTTTCTAATAAAGTTTATGGGACAAGCCGAGGTTTAGGATAAATTTTCCAGAAATTACAACTTGTCCAGGAAATGAGAGCATGCACAGTTCTAAGCATCTCACAATTCATCTATGTTACACCACTGCTGTATGAGCTGTATCAGCTTCCAGTTTTTCCCCAGGTGCAATTCAAGTTCTGAATTATTACCCATAAACCCTGAATGACACAGGACCAAGTTATCTTCAGGATTGCCTCTTCCTGAGGAGATCTATCTCTGTTCCACTAGGTCTGATAGGGTGGCTGTGATTCAGGTCCTTTCCCTCAATTGTTGCCATCTAGAGCAGGGATAGTCAACCTTGGCTCTTTTATGACTCGTGGACTTCAACTCCCAGAATTCCTGAGCCAGCTATGCTGGCTATGAGCTATGAGCTATGCTGGCTCAGGAATTCTGGGAGTTGAAGTCCACGAGTCATAAAAGAGCCAAGGTTGACTACCCCTGATCTAGAGGGACCTAGACTGTCCCTACGCTTCTAGCCTTCTGAAAAGCATTGAAAACCTACATTTTACCCTAAGCATTGGGATAGTCTGGATCTGAATACCTGAAAGTTTTTAAGGGTATATGGAAAAGTGTAGCAGCTGGAGGTCTGGAAGTTTTCTGTGTTGATATTTCTGTATTTATTGCTTTTGTTGTTGTTTGTGAGCCACTCAAAATTACATTGTGTACGATGGGAAGATATATAATCTAGGAAATAAACAGAGTGGTGAAAAAGAGACTGAAAGGAAAAATCAAGATAATTAAATAATCCTCACAAGGATATTGAAAAGTACAATAATTGAGGCTCAACTGCAATGTTTTGCCCAATGTAATGAAGGGCCAACTAACATCCAGGAAGCTGTCAAAGTTCAGAAGACTTCCTTAAAACCTGTCCTAACATGGAGCACAAAGACAAGCAGAAAAAGTGTAGGGTAATGTAAGGAATTCTAAAAAACAATTTGAGGGGGAAAACTCAGGAAATAATAAAAACGTAAATGTATTTGAACGGACAAAATCCAGAGCAAGCATTAAGTCATTAGATAGCAACAAAGTGAATAAGAAGCTCAAGGAATGTATAAAGTCTCTTCTACCACAGAAGAGACAGAGACCTGGCCCAGTAGTGACTTTTTCAGGGAATATATTGGAACAACTAAAGCTAATTAAAGTAGCAAATGGAGATATTCCAAACATCGCGAGACAGCATAGAGAAACAAATCACCAAGTCTGGATGGTATCCATCTGAGAATTCTTAAAGAATTCAGCGATGAAATTACTGGCCTCCCAACAAAAGTAGGTATACAAATAGCATAAATTAATCTTTCATTGAAGTACAAAAATATGTCGTAAAATTAAGAGGAAGCAGAAGGATGTAATAGTTCTGGATCTATGTCTTCTGATTTTCTGCCATAGAATTAATTAATGAAAGAGAAATGAAGGCGTAGCTTTAATTAAGAATGAAGGAGCAAGAATAAAGGATAAAAAGTATGAACTGGACTCATCTGTGTTATTGTGATGGCATGTCAGCATAGGAATGCCTGGCTCGCTATGCTTTATTTTAGTGAATGATAATAATGGAAGAATCAAAGATGAGTTTTAGGCAAAAAATTGGAATGAATCTGATCCATCCATTATTCCATCTAATTGGGTTGTTTACTCTGGGTTGGATCGCTACAAAGTCTCTGGGTGTAACTGACCAGATGAAGACAGACAGATGATAGTTTGATGTGTTCGAATCCAATGAGATGACTAGGCAACTTCTTGTGAAGTCATCTGGGATTTGCTAACTCTGTAGAGTCCAAGGGATTGAACTGGAATTTCTGTAGCCCGAATTCTGTAACCTGAATTCTTTTTCTGCCTGTCTGGTTTCTTTGGGCAGTCAAGGATGGGTTTCATGTAGGATTTGAGAGTTAAGAGCCAATGCTAAGGCCATATGGATACGTGGACAAGAGGAAATAATTGCTGCATTGACTCAAGAACATTTAAAAGATTCAGAAGGAAAAGTAGGTAAGACAATCAGGGCTATGAAGTGATCTGGATTTGAATGGAAAGAATTGATTTGAATGAATATATATCATGAGAACCTGTTTGGTATAGTGGTTAAGGCATCAGGCTAGAAACTGGCAGACTTCTAAGCCCGCCTTCAGCACAAGACGAGCTGGGTGACTTTGGGCCAATTACTTTCTCTCAGCCTTAGGAAGGCAGCAATGGCAAACCACTTCTGAAAAACTTTGCCAAAAAAACTACAGGGACTTGTCCAGGCAATCTCCGAGAATGAGACACATTTGCGTGGAAGGGAGAAAACACATATTATTCTAGTCAGCAACTCCTTAAGTAAACAGTATCTTTTCCTGAGCTTGTGCTGTGCGATTTCCCCCCCCCCCAAATTGTTGAAAGAGGCAACATGCTCACTCAAACATCTTTTCACTGTTAAATCAAGTTTGCTTCACAGCTTTAGACCTGGTGGCTGTGAGTTTGCACTCGAGGATGGTGGGGAACAACGAGGTCATTACTCTGATCCTGTGGGATTAAAGAAATCAAAGCTCCCAAATACGTCAGAAGCAGTGCAATAATCAATACACGATTAGTAACATTAAAATGGTACTCAGGTGAGAGCTGATCTGTCTTGAATGTAGGCATGTTTCTCAACTGAGTCATTTTCTCCTCCAAGATTCTGTATTTATCTGTAGATTTTAGTTTATAGGTATTGGGAACCTTTGTATTGATTAGCAGTTCCAGGAGAACTATTCTTCCATTAATCAATAGGGAAGTGATTGAATAATTGCTCAGTGGAAGGAGCACTTGGATTCTGCTTCCTCTGCAGTTATCTGGGACATTCTTCTAATTCTTGGCAGCTTCTAAGCCCCTGTTGCTTCTGACTCTGCTGCCTTTTCTGGAATGAAATAGATTCAAGCTATCAGAATAATGCCAACAAAAATATGAAGCATGACTACATATGTAGAAAGAGCCAGGAGGTCTGAGTTTCTTGGAAAAGCTAGAGTATAATGATTATAGCAGCAAAGGAACCCTGTTGTGATGTTACTGGTTTTTATGTATTATATTTCCATTCTGTATGAAATATGCCAAACATTATTCTAAGTACTTAGCAAGATGGTGATGGTGATTAAACATTTTGTAATATAGCTCTTTATTTGACTGTTGTTTGTCTTCAATAAACTAACAAGATATCAATTCATAGATAGGATACTGCTGGAGATCCCATGTATGCTGCTTTGAGTAGTTTTATAAAGAGAGAGATGTTTTCACACACTCATTTTTCATACATGAGAAAAACGAGGTGTGTACATTGCAGTTTGTTTTACAAGCGCAAAGCATATCTACCACTTCTGTCCTGATTTATTTGAATAAGCTTGAATGTCATCGCAGGGTAAATGCTTTTGGGTATTTCCAGCCGAATAAAGAGCAGGCAGAGCAAGTTGCTAGAGCAAGTCCGTTCAAGTCCCAGCCAATGATGGGAGAGTAAAATGTGACTGTGAGGATCAGCCTTTGATGCACAAAGCATAACTGAGCTCCCCATGTTCCAAGTGATGCAAAATAGCTCCAGCAGGCTCTGCCAAAGTGGCTATGCTGCATCACATTAGTAGCACTGGAACACAGGATGATGTTCAGAAGGAGTAAAACCATTGTATCACAGCAGTAGGGCCTATTAGAAATGAAGCAATCCCACTGGGGCATTTTATTTGCACACTCCAGTAGAGTGGACGCCAAAGGCTTTGCTAATGCTTCATGGGCTGCTAATTTCCTCTCTGACCCCTTTTGTGGAGGGGTGACCCCAGCCAGAATCCTTCTGCAATGAATGCCAAAGCCTGACACAGGTCTGGGTTAGGGGTGACAAAGAGGCCTCTGTGGGCTTTAATCAGGCTCCAGTTTGCCGTTTAAGAACTGGGAAGAGGGGGGGGAGAGAGTTGTGGCTCTCTAAAGATCTGGGTGGTACAATAAGGGAGGCCCCGGGTCTCCCATGGAGGCAGCTGAGTTGCAGCAGGCAGCAGAAGACAGGCTAAAAAATTCATCAGACAAGGAGGGGAGGACAAGAAAGGAGAGGCGGATGGCTTCTTTTGTGAAAGTCTTTCTTTGGAATATAGAAGGTTTTTCAATGAATGCCCCCATTAGATGACCCAATCAGGTCCTGGCAGATGGATCTCCTAGGCACGCTGCTTATTCATAGCAGGCGAAGTTGCTTCTGCTCTCTCACTTCCCTTTCCCTTTCCCTGGGCTGCATCCCTCCTTTCTTCCCACATGCTTTCATGCATATTAAGACTAACTTTATATATGTATGTGTGTGTGTGTGTATATATATATATAGATATAGATATATTTCTTTCTCTTCTTGTCCATCTGCCCCAAAGACTGTGATACCTACTGCAAGGCATCCAAAGGAAAGCTGAAGATAAACATGAAGAAGTATTGCAAGAAAGATTATGGTGAGCAACTCTCTCTCCTCCCCAAACGTCACCCTGGAAATGTTCGGTCTCTGCCTGCCTTGTCACAGAACCTCTTAAAAGTGGCATTTCTTTTTCTGAGACATGGTCAGAATAATCTCTGTTATGTATGGTAAGTGGCTATTGGCCAAAAAAAGACCTTCCTAGCAGTGTGCAATATTGTTTATAACTGAATGCACAATAAAGGACCTGCCAAAGGTTTGAGATGGGCATAAATGGGGGGGGGGAGAGGGAGAACTGAAAGGAAATCAGTGAAACATGCAGCAAAGTATCTTCTGGGACTTTGCTCTGGGACAGCCCCTGACTAGAGCACATTCAACTACCCAAAACACTGAGTAAGTATGGGAAATTTACTATCTTGCCTCTTGGAAGATGGGGAAAAAAAATCTCATAAATTAAAGATTTCATTCATATATTTGAATGGGCAGCTTGTATGTACTGGGAGGTATGTGCCAAGACGGAGCCTTTAGGTTGTGTTCACACAGCATCTTTAACCTCCTTGCACATTGATCAATGTTCTGGATTGACAAAATACATTGAATATAGAAACTGGCCAAGTAGGCTGAGTTGACACACATGCTAAACCACAAGATAAACATGCAAGTAAAACTTCTTTTCATGCTTAGCACATTAAGGACAAATTAAGTGTATTGTATGGAGAGAGTCTTAGAGGGAACCTACTAAAGTTGGAAAGTTTCTTATCAATAATGAAACAAAAGGAAATCCAATGTTGGTAGAAGACTGCCAGGGGGGAAGAAATGCCAGGGAAGGCAAGCACTGGAACTATGCATTTAAAGTGCATTTGTGTGGGTTCTCTTACTAACAAAAGTGAATGATGATGGGAATGACAGCCAAATTTCCTTGGAAACAGGAAGATATGTTCCTGCCACACTCAATATTATTCAATCCCAAATTACTATGATGTGGCTTTGTTTGCCCTCAACATCATGGTCAGGTTACCAGATCCAGTTGGTTGTATGATTTGTGAGGCCAACGACTACTTGATTTCTTTATTTTTACCTGTCAAGAAGGGATAAAATAAAGGAAAAAAAAGATGTCACAGCTTCAACGAATGAATAGAACAGTTGTAAAGTCACAAAGAGGATGAATTAAAAATCTTTCAGGAGGGTTTTTTCATGTAAATGTAGGTAAGTATGTGTGTGTTTAAAAATAAACATACGCTAGGGATTTATAACATGGCTTTAAAAAAAATTGGAATATGGTTGGAAAGAATACAATAGCAATTTTAAACTTTGGTGTTGGAAAAGACTTCTGAAAATGCCATGGACAGCCAAGCAAACAGAGAAATGATCATCGATCAAAATCAGAGTTTTTCACTCAACACACAATTGACCACAGTTAAATTGTATCTTGGGCATATTATGCAAAGATCTAATCCATTTACAACTGTGGGAAAATTGGAAGGAAAAAGAAAGTGACCATCAGCAAGGTGGATGCATTTCATTACAGTGGGGATGGATGTACCCTTGTAACATCTGAAGGGCCAGATAGGGAGACAGATCATTCTGGAGGTCTATATATATGGTTACTAAGACTGAACCTGGCTTGATGGCACAGAATCAATCAATCATCATATATATGACCTTAAGTGCAAGAAAGAAGAGGGAAAGCTCATAAAAGCATGCTTACAGATAAAACTTGGTATATTTATTCCTGTCATGTTCTATAATTAAATGATTAAACAATTAAGTTCCATATACTTTTTGTGCTATAGCTTTTGTATAAAAATACAGGAAGAGTTAAGAATCCTTCAAACCTTTGTGTAATTGATGTAGAATTAGTGTATTGCCAGACTTATAGTATCAATCTTTTTCAGCCATAAAAACTTAAAATTCTAATTGTCTTCCTGTTAGTTTCCAAGTCATTTTTGTCCAAAAGGGAGTTACTTAATGCATAACATCATAGTGATTAAAGTTTCAGTTTTGAGCAGCACATTTCCAACAATACATGAAGCATTGATTTAAGTCACTCAGAGATACACACATACATAGAGCCACGCGATTGGTTATAAACTGTGTAGTCAATTTAAAATGAGAGGCAGAAAGTAATTACAGAGTTGTTAAGTTTGAATGTCCACAAGCATACTTGGAAATGCGTAGACCTATGCAAAACTACTTGGCTTCAACAAAGAAATTTGTGCTGTGGAAGCAACATGATTCGCTTCATTGAAGCGAAGAGGTGAAGTGATTCACCTTGACAAAGCAATTCACATAATCTTAAACCACTTTGGGCAGGGCTTCCAGACTGCATCCAGCAGTGTGCTCTGAATCCACCCAACCTTGAAGAACTTGAACAGTTCATGAGGGGGCTCCAGGCTAGAAGTCTGAACTTCTATTGTTCAAAAATGGTCATTTTGAGGTCAGTGGCAGCGTTCCTTGGAAAGCTGAAGTCCCCTCCCCACCTTAAGCTTTGAATACTGAAATTTCTGAGATTACCTTTATACCCATTTATTAATTTTGCAAGTTCATCCTATATACAAAGCTGATTGGCACTGATGCCTTATGATGGCATATATCACAGTGGAAGATGATAAATTGAATAAAGTTCTCAAGCTTTAATCGGTGTAATTAGAACTTGACATATTTTTTCTGAATTGGTAAAAAGTTATATTTATTCTCTAGAATTGTTATAAGGAGGTTTTTTTTATTTGTGGTTTGTTGTTGGTAATAAGCTATATTAGGTTGTTGGAGCAGAACAGCCTGTAATTAAGAGCAACCATATTATCCAAGACTTGCAAAGGAAAAGTAATTTTATTGACCATGATGGCCTGCAAGTCATTGATAATATGTTGGGCTGGTTTTAATAATAGGCAACTACAAATAACCAGTCTTTATGTTGATGGCTGATGGGGCATCACTGTAGGTTACACTAGAGAATATTTTAGGGCTGAGGGCTTTATGAACCCCACAGAAATCTTCAAAGTGTACAAACGTACCAGTTTGGTCTAGCAGCAGGCTAGACACCAAGAGATCATGAGTTGTAGTCCTGCTTTAGGCATGAAAGTCAGCCAGATGACTTTGGACCAGTCACTTTTTCTCAGCCCAACTCACCCCACAGGGTTGCTGTTATGAGAAAAATAGGAGTAGGAAATAATATTGTGTGTGTTTGTTGCCTTGAGTTATTTATTAAAATAATAAAAGCAGGATTATTATTTTTTAAAAAGGTGACATTCATGCCTCTTTCTCTTTCATGTGCCCAGACAGGGATACTTTATTAAACCTACAGAGCCTTCATCCTACTTCTACTTAGACATGGTTTTCTTGGGCTTCTTTGGATTGAGGGATAGGGGGGAAAAATAACTTCATCTTCTTCCCTCTCCTCACACCCAGTCACTGAACTTAATTGATGATTATAAGCCTCTTTCTTCAATTGATGGCTGATCAGCAATAAGGGGAGGAAAAGAGATTCCTGAATGCAGCAGAGAGCAATGAAGCATGAAGGTATGAGAAATGATTAATTTATTGTGGTGCTGAAATGGAGACTGAGGAAACCATGGTCAAGAACAGTCAGAACATAGATCTAGCACTCATGTGGAAGAGTGTGTTCCTCTTACGCATCTTGCCTGGTAACCAGCTGCATGGGTTGAGGGGAAGGCAGGAAAAATGGGAAAGATGGCTTTCTATTGGCTTACTCACCAGATCTCTGATTGGCTCCAGGTGACCAGAAACCTGGAGGTAAAGAAATGGCTCCCCCAGCTGCTTATTGGAGGGAGAAATGGCAATTTATTTATTCAATTTCTATAGCTGCCCATCTCAGTTAGTGACTCTGGGCAGCATACAATGTAAAAACATTAAACAACACAGGGTAAATATATATGGGCACCAAATAAGGCTATTGCCATAGATGTTAATATAGCTAAGCTAGAATAGATAATATGGTTTTAATCAGAGGGCTTAATCATCTTTCCAATCATACCTCCTTTGCAGTCCCTCCCATGTTAAGGGGATAGTCTGATGGATATATATCCACTTGCAGCTGAGCTATTAGTAGAAGGGAAAGCAAAATTAGAGGTATCCATCAGTCACTTTACTACTTTACCCACTTTACTACTGTAAGGACAGCACTGATCTCATTACTATATAATCACAGGATTTGGCAATTAGGGCAATACAACCATCCTCGAGGTAAGAGGAAAGCCACAAATCCTTGGCTTCAATGTATTTTGCAAAGTTGCAAGAGGAAAGGCTTATCTGTGTGCACTGCTTGAGGTTTCAGAGGAACAGATGGAGGCATACGAACACATAAATGCAAATATTAAAATATATGAACTTGTTATCTGTTACACATATTCTAGTAACTCTCAGCTTCCACAATATCCCGTTTTCAAATGATTGGCAACTTTAGTTTGTTCTCGCAAAGCATCAGCAAAGAAAAACTCTCTTAACATTTGCACCAGGAGTAAGTAGCAGAAACTGGTTAATTCCTGACTCTGCCTTGACTCTCTTCTACATAACCCATATACTTTTTTTTTTTTTGCACCCATTTGCCTGACCTTGGAAACAATAGTAAGGCTGCAGCAAATGAACGTTTCTTTCTATCAACTATTTTGATACTTCTGGAGGCGATATAAAAATCAATAGAGTGGGGTAACCCATTCTATTACTCACAGTTTATTTCCATTAGTACAATTCGTATACCTTTGGATGCAACAAGGCTTTTATCCTTAAACCTAAAGTTAGGATTACCACACACCATTTGTTAGAGACATATAATCTAACTTGAAAAAAAAATGTCCTTTATTTATCCTACAAGGTGAAGAAATCGTTCCCCAGTTCAGAACCAAGCATAAGGATTTTCCATTGCAAGGAATGGCTCTTTTGTAGCTGTATGTGACATAATATAATGTTATATATAACAAATTATGCTGCTTTTGTTATTCCCTCCCCTCCCCCCAAGCAACTTAAGTCAATGAAAAACAATTCAATGAAAAACAAAATAAATAACACTGATGAAAAAAAATC